CAGTGAATTCCCCATACATCTCGAGGCGCCTATCAAAAAGATACTCTGAATGCTTCGGGATCAGGTCGGGAACTTGATCCCCCCAAAAAGGGGACTGCAGCGGTCAAACTCAAATTCTAGAAATCCGTCAGGACCCTCCTGCTGTCATTTCACTGACTCATAGGGCTTCCCTCAGCTCAGTCTTTTTGGTTCTTGAGAATAGTCACCACCTCTCCCAGGACCAGAATGACTATTCACTTCCCCGCCATTCTTGTAATGCACACCCCTTCGAGAACCCGAAAACTAAACAACTTTTCTTCGGAACACATACAAGATTTGTCATTGCAAAAAGGATAATTTTTTCTCCATTCGTTATTTGTTCTTTTAATTTTGGTTATTATCAAAAACTCAAATTTTTTTTCTACCAATAAATCAATGTTTAGCAACAATTAAACGCAACTAAACCGATGAATGATCACAAATACCAATATAACTAAATGTAGATCAAACCATGGATGCATTGCATGGAAATTAAATGAAATGTGATCTGTACATGTCTATTTTCAACTGGGACCTTCTTTAATTTAGTGAGATCAAAATTTTTAACCTAATGACGTAAAGTAGAATAAACTTAATTTTCACATTTCTAATCAAAATAATTATCCAAAGCACATAATATATATGTCCAAATAAAATATAGAGCACGGTAAAATCCTACTAAAACATAATATCCTTGTGCAAAATAACACCCATAGGAGCAATATGCTCATGAAAGACTTTGGGCGGTAATCCCTTTGTAAGCAGATCCACTATCATGGAGTTTGTTCCAATGTGCTCTATGGATATATTTCTTCTCTGCACTATCTCCTTCACAACTAGGAACTTAATGTCTATATGTTTAGCCTTAGATGAACTTCTCTTGTTATTGGAATAAAGAACTGCTGACTTATTGTCACAAAAATTTTGAATGGTGTTTCAACACCTAAAAGTTGTAGCCTTGTGACAAAATTTTGTAGCCATATTGCATGATTGAATGCCTCATAACATGCAACAAATTTTGCTATCATTGTGAAAGAAGTGATGGGCGTCTGTTTAGCAGTCCTCCAAGATAAGCTCCACAAGCCAATAGATAAATATAGCTTGAAGTGGATCTCCCACTGTCTTGGCATCCAGTGTAGACACCGTATTTTGTCCGGCTTAATTTTAATTTTAATTTTATTAAGTTTTATTTTGATTATTTTGGTTTAAAATATCATAAGTTTACTTTATTATTAGTTTTAAGGTGAATTATTAATTAAATTGAAAAATAGATTTTATTTTTAAAATAATTTGATTTATTATTAAAATATAAAATTAAAAAGAGATTTTATTTTTAAAAAATTTGTTTTAAATAATAAAGATATTTTGTTTTATTTAAAAATAAAATTTGTTTTCTTTCCTCTTTTCCCTCGTCAAACCCACTAACGTAACATCTCCTCCTTCCCGTCCTTCTTCCCCTTTCTCTGGTTTTCTTATTTTAGCATATATCACCATTGTTTTTTTATAGTATTTAATGGCGAGGAAATACACAAGACATGACACACAGAGAAGGAGAAAGTACTAGCCCCTTAGAAACACTCAGTTTTATTCCTCTACCTCAAAAAGGGTCACCTTCTTCTTCATCTTCTACCTCTCACCACTCCTTCTTTTTCTCTTTACAATAAACTCCAGTAACCCATCCCAGCAGCAACTTTGCAAGACCGGCTCGCACACACGACCTACCCATGTGAAGCCTCGGTGACCTCCACAACAAAGCAAAACTCCGATAAAGCAAGACACACAGATTGACGCTAACTTCACGTTTTGGTGGTAGATGGTACAATGCGTTTCAATGTTTTCTTGAAAAAAAAAGGTTTAAAGTATCCTACAAGATACTTCTCTCTTTTTTTTTTTTAACAAAATTGTTTTATTAAAAAAAAATAAAAAGATTTGTTTTAAACAAACAAACTTTTCAAAATATAACAAAACCTTTTAAAATATGTTTTAAATATGTTTTTGGAAAATAGTAAATGATTTTGATAAATAATTTTCTTCTTTTATAAGAAGAGTTTTTTTTTTCTTTTTGGTAAATAAAAGTTGATTCTAGAAAAGGAAATATTTTGTTTTAAACCATATTTTTTTAATGCAAAATAAATAAAAGRTTTTTTTTTTCAAAAAGGAATTTGTTTTCAAATAACCTTTTTTAAAGTAAATTTCTTTTGGAAAAAGAGTAAATATTTTGTAAATGGATTTAAAATAAATTTCTTTGAATTAATAAAAACTGAGTGTAAAAGAAAAAAAAATCTTTTTAAGAAAGTTATAAAATTCAAGTTTTTAGGAAAATAAATAAAAGATTCAAAAGAAAACTTTTGTTTTAAAATAAATGAATCTCAAATCTGTAAAACTTTGTTTTTCAAAGATTTGTTATTTAAGTTTTGAAAATTTTGAATAAGATATTTTATAAATAAATTTGGTTATGTACATAAGTTTTTTTTTCCTATAAATAAAACTTTTGTTTTTCTAATGGCCTTAATGTCACTCGTACCTATTAATTCATATGTTATAACAAAGTGTGAATTAATATAACGTGGGAAATTTCAATCAAAATACAAAATTATTTTTTGCACCAAATAAAAATAATAGGAT